GCATAAAACCCAACACAATTAAATAACAGTAACACTGACGGCTATTCAAAGTTCAGCAGACCAAATGCTAAGGAAAGGCAGTGTAGAGTAGTGGTTAGTGTTGGACTAGGACCTGGAAGACCAGGGTTAAAATCTGCAGTGCACTCTACGTGGAGCTACCTTTGAAGGTGACCCGGAAACTACAACTAATCCAGAATGCGGCACCTAGACTGGTGACTGGGAGCGGCTGCCGAGACCACCAGTCTTGAAAGACCTACATTGGCTCCCAGTACGTTTCTGAGCACAATTCAAGGTGTTGGTGCTGACCTTTAAAGCCCTAAACGGCCTCGGTCTAATATACCTGAAGGAGCATCCCCACTCCCATTGTTCTGCCCAGACACTGAGGTCCAGCGCCGAGGACCTTCTGGCGGTTCCCTCACTGTGAGAAGCCAGAGTGGCTGGGGAAACCCAGCCAGATGGGTGGGGTATAAATCAATTATTATTATTATTATTATTATTATTATTATTATTATTATTACACTTGGCCATGAAGCTCATTGAGTGGCCTTGGGCCAGTCACCAGTTTTCTGCCTAACCTACCTGGAAGGGCTGTGGTGGGGATTAAATGAGGAGGAGGACCATGTGCTTCCCTGGCTGTAGAATGCCTTCCCTTGTGAGGACCACCTGTCTCCATCATCCATGTTCGTCAAGGCATTCGATGTCTGAAGAATCCCATTCCTGGCACCCCGACGATAATCGGAGGAAGAATGTCTCCAGCTGCTTATAGAATGCTTAATTGTAACTGATTTAATTGTAACTGATTTTAGATGTTTCTAACTGTACTTGTTTTTAGAATGTTTTAAATTATTATTATTATTATTATTATTATTATTATTATTATTATTATTATTTATATACCACTCTATACCCGAAGGTCTTAGGGCAGTCCACAGAAAAGATCAACCACAATGTATATAATCAAAATAAAAACAACAACCCAATAACACCTCAACCTTGGCCCTCCAGGTGTTTTGAGACTACAATTCCCATCATTGCTGACCTAGCTAGGGATCATGGGAGTTGTAGGCCAAAAACATCTGGAGGGCCAAGGTTGAGGAAGCCTGGTATAGGATGTCAATCAGGTCAACCAAAGGCCTAGTTAAAAAGAAACGTTTTTGCCTGGTGCCTAAAGGTGTATAATGAAGGCACCAGGCGAACTTCCCTGGGGAGAGCATACCACAGATGGGGAGCCACTGCAGAGAAGGCAGCGCATTTTAAAATGCTGCTTTGTTTTTGTTTTAGATTGGTGCATCTACCTGCCAACCTGAGCATCTTGGGAAAGATAGGTGGGATATAAATTCAATAATAATAATAATAATAATAATAATAATAATAATAATAATAATTTATTATTTATACCCCACCCATCTGGCTGGGTTTCCCCAGCCACTTTGGGCAGCTTCCAACAAAATATTAAAATACAATAGTCTATTAAACATTAAAAGCTTCCCTAAAGAGGGCTGCCTTCAGATGTCTTCTAAAAGTCTGGTAGTTGTTCTTCTCTTTGACATCTAGTGGGAGGGCGTTCCACAGGGCGGGTGTCACTACCGAGAAGGCCCTCAGCATTGGACCTCAATAAAGAATGAAAAAAGAAATTCAGGCTCTGAGCCTTGGTAATAAATTAGATGGCGATGATATTGTTTTGGGGCTGGGAGGAGGGACTGATACATTCTGAATTCTTTCAACAAGCATAAGCTCATTTGTGGTTACTGGGCTCGGAGCGATTACTCCTGCAAGCAGACCCGGCTGTGTCGTACAAGCAAACCACGTGCCTCTCCGCTCCTTCTTCCTCCCCCCCCCCTTTCAGTTTGTGGCTGGCTCTGTGTTTAACACAAAGAAAGGAGTTAACAAAACAAAGCAAAATTGAATGACTGCATCACACCTTGAAGGAGATGAGGAAGCCAGATAAGGAGCTCTGGGTGTTTATCTTTGACAGCCATTATAATACGGAATTAGATAGAAATGTAATGAAATCCCTCTGATGACATATTCTCCACAGACACACACACACTTTCTCTTTGTAATAGCAGTTGGCTGAGGAGCTGGCAAGGCGAGGAGACAAGGCTGGGAAATGGTGACTGGTGCCCAGAAGCCCCTTAAAAGGAAGGGGGCTGCGGTCAGCAAGAAAAAGTTGGACACCTGTCTTGAATTACCACTTGGCTGTGGAGTTGCCATTTTTGGTCAGACAAAATAAAAGACAAGTTGAGGGGCACACTCTGTCCCATGACACCAACCCCCCCCCTTTGTGGAGGGGGTTCCCCACATTCGGCCTCCTGCCTTCCTCACCCCCCTAGTCTTGCTCTTCCCCCCAACTCATGTAGACAGGCAGGGGCAGGGGTAGACGGCCAGTTCACATGGGCAACTTGACCCGCAGTTCCAGTCTCTCGCCCATGCTGGCAGTGGAAGAGACTTGAGCACAGAGGAGGAGGGAGGGAGGAGAAAGAGAAGTCAGGTCGGGGTGGCGGAGAGGGTAAAGGTAAAGGTAAAGGACCCCTGGACGGTTAAGTCCAGTCAAAGGCTACTACAGTCATACCTCGGGTTACAGATGCTTCAGGTTGCATTTTTTTGGGTTACGGACCGCCGAAACCCGGAAGTACCGAAATGGGTTACTTCCGGGTTTCGGAAATCGAGCACACGCAGAAGTGCCAAACCACAACCCCTGCGTGCCCAGACGCGCCGCTGCGGGTTGCAAACGTGCATCCCACATGGATCACATTCGCAACCCAAGCTTTCACTGTATGGGGTTGCGGCGCTCATCTCGCTTTCGGGCCAGCGTTTGTCCACAGACAGCATTCCAGGTCATGTGTCCAGCATGACTAAACCGCTTCTGGAGCAACGGGACACCGTGATGGAAGCCAGAGTGCACTGAAACGCTGTTTACTTTCCCGCCTATTTATCTTACTTGCACTGGTGTGCTTTCAAGCTGCTACATTGGCAGGAGCTGGGACAGAGCAACGGGAGCTCACCCTGTCATGGGGATTTGAACTGCGGAAGGGGCCAAGCGGCGGTGGACCTACACCATGCTAGACCAGAGTGTGGCAGCTGAGGAGGAGCACCAGTGAGAGGGAATGAGGGAGGGGACGTAGGAAAGAGAGGAGGTCACTCCTTCCCTCTTCTCTCTATTGCCACTTGTTCCAGGACAGGCTCTTCATCAACCGCACCAACAGCGACACAATTGCCATTTTGTGCTGACTGAACTTGACTACAGGAAAAAGGGCATCCCATTTGAACTCCAAACAGGACAGGGGATACAGGATGGGGTGATCCCATTTTTCTAGGGACAGGTGGCAACCCTATTTGGCTGCAACCTTTATTTAACAATTACAATTCATCAATAATTTCACTGAACAAACACTTGGAAGGGACGGCTCTCCTCCACCCAATGAACAGTTCTCGGAAGCTCACCTCAGAAAAGGAGATTGCAAAGCAGGAAAAGGTTCAGAAAAGGGGGGACCCAGAGGAGCTGTAGCAACTCCCCTATACGGAATACCAGTAAAATGGACATGTGGTGCTTTTTCCGTATTTGCTTCTGGCCATCTGTCTTGGAAGCTTTAGCTGAGATTCCTGCATTGCAGGGGATTGGACTACGTGACCCCCAGGGTCCCTTCCAATTCTACAATTCTATGATTCCATGGCCCTGCCTAACACTGGCTCTTAGCCCTCAGAAAGTTGAAGAAAAGGAAACGTGGCCTTCGCACCAAAAAGAGGTTCCCTACCCATTAGAAAGGGAAGAAATGGAGGCAAGTGAGAGATTTTACTTTCTTGGGCTCCATGATCACTGCTGATGGTGACAGCAGTCACAAAATTAAAATATGCATGCTTCTTGGGAGAAAAGTGATGACAAACCTAGACAACATATTAAAAAGCAGAGACATCACCTGTCCAATAAATGTCCGTATAGTTAAAGCTATGGTTTCCCAGTAGTGATGTATGGAAGTGAGAGCTGGACCATAAAGAAGGCTGATCGCCGAAGAATGGATGCTTTTGAATTAAGGTGCTGGAGGAGACTCTTGGGAGTCCCATAGACTGCAAGAAGATCAAACCGATCCATTCTGAAGGAAATCAGCCCTGAGTGCTCACTGGAAGGACAGATCCTGAAGCTGAGGCTCCAATACTTTGGCCACCTCATGAGAAGAGAAGACTCCCTGGAAAAGATCCTGATGTTGGGGAAGATGGAGGGCACAAGGAGAAGGGGACGACAGAGGACAAGATGGTTGGACAGTGTTCTCGAAGCTACCTACATGAGTTTGACCAAACTGCGGGAGGCAGTGGAAGACAGGAGTGCCTGGCGTGCTCTGGTCCATGGGGTCACGAAGAGTCGGACACGACTAAACGACTAAACAACAACAATACCCATATTTTATTACCATAGCAGTCCACTAAAAGGTTTGGTCTTCTGCCTCTCCCTGTCTGAAAAATGGGTTGTGGTGGCAAGCAGAAAAAGCCGCTGTAAGCAGCCAATGCAACCTTTGTACCTTTCTCCTAGTAAGATTTTGGCACATCCAAAGTTCTGAACAAGAATTACGATCGTATGTTAATTAAGACTCCTATCGCTGCTTTAAAGTCATTTTTTAACCTGCGTTTCATGGTGAGATTGAACAGCCTTTGAAGAGACCGTTTGGCAGAACCACAAATACTGAAATGTGGGGAGGTGGTTCAGCGGCATTTGCTGATATAATGGCAGAAAGGTTTAATGTTCTGGCTAAGTGGAGAAGGAACAGTTCCTCCTGGCCTTGAAATCTGTTGGAGGGTTAACCTAATGAGAGCGCAAAAGGGTAAAGCGAGTCTCATGTGCAAACATATCAAACTGTTAGGTTGTTGTGTGCCCAAACTAATATGAGGCCTGCACAAAAGTCCCTGGAACATAAAGGCTGAAGTGACAGCTGGAAAAACCTGCCAGGAATGAATGATTTGTACCCGCAAGTCACCCAACGACAATTACCTCTTGCAGCGAGGTCAGAGGGGGAATGGCTCAGTGATAGGGCACTTGCCTTGCATGCAGAAGGTCCCAGATTCAATCCTTGGCATCTCCCTTCTGCAGTCCTGGACAGCTGCTGTTGGCTGGGGAATTGGTTGATTGATTGATTACATTTATATAGCAACTTTCCTCCAAGCAGCTCGGGGCGACAGACATTACTGAACTGGACTGTTCCTCAAAAGCATGAGTAGGCAAACTAAGGCCCGGGGGCCGGATCTGGCCCAATTGCCTTCTAAATCCAGCCCGCGGAAGGTCCAGGAACCAGTGTGTTTTTACATGTTTTTACATGAGTAGAATGTGTGCTTTTATTTAAAATGCATCTCTGGGTTATTTGTGGGGCATAGGAATTTGTTCATTTCCCCCCCAAAAAATATAGTCTGGCCCCCCACAAGGACTGAGGGACAGTGGACTGGCCCCCTGCTGAAAAAGTTTGTTGACCCCTGCTCATAAGGCTTGAACATACTCAGCTCCCTCAATCATTCCTCATATGGCTTTGTTTCCAGACCCTTGATCATTTTGGTTGTCCTCCTCTGCACACATTCCAGCTTGTCAATATCCTTCTTAAATTGTGGCACCCAGAACTAGACACAGTATTCCAGGTGTGGTCTGACCAAGGCAGAATAGAGCGGTGCTATGACTTCCCTTCATCTGGACACTAGACTTCTGTTGATGCAGCCTAGAATAGCGTTAGCTTTTTGGCTGCTGCATCACACAGTTGACTCATGTTAAGTTTCCAGTCCAGCAAGACTCCTAGATCCTTTCCACATGTACTACTGGCAAGCCAGGTATCCCCCCATCTTATACTTGTGCAGCTGGTTCTTCCTGCCCAAGTGCAGAACATTACCTTTGTCCCTATTGAAATACATTTTGTTAGTTTGGGCCCAGTTCTCCAATCTGTTAAAGTCATCTTGAATCTCGATTCTGTCTTCTGCAGCATTAGCCACCCCTCCCAGTTTTGTGTCATCTGCATATTGCATGAGTATCCCCTCAATTCCTTCATTTGCACTTTCCAAGGTCATCTGCAACTATAGGGGTGCATGGCGCCATCTGCATGAATCCCTCTACAAGTCTCAATAGAATGGCAAAACCAGCATTTTGCATTGCGTGGATCTGTACATGGAAACAAAGGGATCTCCAGGTTGCCAAATGGCAACATTCAACTGTGTTGTTCCCAAAAGGGAAGGACCCAAATTTGATTATTTTCCAAAAGAAGTAATTACATTTGATCTCTAAAACTACAAAACAACTGACAGGAGCTGGAGTCCAGGAATGTCTAGAGGACCACAAGTTCCCCGTCCCCAACTTAACACCACTGTGGTCCCTCTTACTGCCACCCTGAGCTGCTTCAGGAAGAAGGACAGGATATAAATTCCATAAATAAAATTATTATTATCAGCCACTTGCATCTCTCTGTCAAAGCAGAAAGATTTATCCGGGAAGTCTTGATCAGTGAAATTCAATATCATGTTTCCAACTGGGAGAAAACGTGTGATGAACTTTGAGGGGGAAACGAAAGATATTTCTAAGAGATGCTTTTTAAATATATATATATTCTGTAAGAGAAACTTCCCCACTCAGAGAAGGAACTTGTGCATCCCCAACCTAGATAGTTCCTGGCTGCCAATTATTTGGGAGGAGACTGAGCATTTCAGATGACTTTTTTATTTTTCATTTCTACTCTCCAATGCCCTCCTTCCAACAATCATTTGATTTCCCCATTGTTCCTCTGAAAGCACAATGATTTTCCCCTTGGTAGGGCTTCTTGAAATAAACAAAGCCCTAATCCAGACCTATCCTGGCCTTGATAATGAGCAATAGCAGCAGCAAAGCCGAAGTCCTGAGGACTCCTTCTGTTTCTTCCCCAAGGAAAGGCAAAGGAATCTGGCAGGCTATTCTCTCCAACAGGCGAGAAGACTTGCAGATGTAAGTAGGAAAACTAGATTTCACACAGCGGATTAAGAGCTATCCCCAGTGTGCAACTGAAGGGCATGAGTTGGCATTGCCTCTCTTCACAAACAAACCTTGCATTTCTTGCTTCTTTTTCTATGCCATAAGGATTTTGCATAGAGCTGAACCAATATAGCACGTTGTTGTCCAGGGTGCTCCTGCAGGGAGAAGGATCAAACCTGCCCCTTCAAGAGACCTGGGCTGAGAGAGAAACATAGGCAAACGTCATGGGTGGCTCCAGGGAACATTCCTCAGAGACGAAGGAAAGAGCAAGGAAGAGCCAGAGTGTGAGAGGTGAGAATGGAGTGGAACATTATCCATGCTGGCATGCTGGTTTCTACTTATATCATTGGCCAAGCATCTAGTAGGGCGAACCAGGAAGTGGCCTCTCCAGACAACGGAACGACTCTGCTTTTCTCATCCCTGCAGCTGCGATCTCTTGGGTGATATGGACGCTGTTAGGCAGTTGAATGTACATACGTACTCCATCTGTTTCTCTCCCTGCCACCCTCCAGCAGCCCTGGGCACCCACACTATGCCACTGAGTGGGTCTCCTGTTGCCTCCGCTCCAGTAACCAGACTGATCATTTGATGTGCTGGGAAGAAGAAGAAGAAGAGTTTGGATTTGATACCCCGCTTTATCACTACCCTAAGGAGTCTCAAAGCTGCTAACATTCTCCTTTCCCTTCCTTCCCCACAACAAACACTCTGTGAGGTGAGTGGGGCTGAGAGACTTCAGAGAAGTGTGACTGGCCCAAGGTCACCCAGCAGCTGCATGTGGAGGAGCGGGGAAGCGAACCTGGTTCACCAGATTACAAGTCTAGTGCTCTTAACCATTACACCACACTGGGAGTGCTCAGCTGACCTGAACAAGGCGGCTGAAAAACGGCTGCATGGGAAATATGCATGAGCATGTGCAAATGGGCGCCTGGGAGATTGTAAGGTGGCCCCACACACCCTTGACCTCTCCCACCACTGCCATGTGGCCCCTGGACATTTAAGGAAGGATGGTAGTGGCCCTTGGGCTGAAAAAGGCCAGCCATCCCTGGTTCAGGGAGAAAGCTGATGAGTACTTTTAAAAGGATTGTGGAAAAGCTCAATGAGAACTCTAGGGCTTGGTCTATAGAAGTTGGAAGCTACAGTGGTCCCTCGGGTTACAAACACCTCGGGTTACAAACGCTTCAGGTTACAAACTCCGCTAACCCGGAAGTAGTACCTCAGGTTATGAACTTTGCCCCAGGATGAGAACGGAAATTGTGCGCCGGTGGCACGGTGGCAGCTGGAGGCCCCATTTGCGAAAGTGCGCCTCAGGTTAAGAACAGTTTCGGGTTAAGAACAGACCTCCAGAATGAATTAAGTTCATAACCTGAGGTAACACTGTATCATCATTTTTAATAAAGCACAATAAATTTACTAACTTCTGTTCAAAGATTATAAACAATACAGTCCCTGACTACAGACTTACAATCTAATAGGTGTGGCACAAAAGGAAAAGCTGGTTGAAGAGGGAAGAGGGGGGGGAAACAAACTTATGTACCAGTTCTTCGATTTACCCTCTCATTCTTACAATAAGAAGCTGGAATAGAGACCAGCTCTAAGGTCCATACCTGCCCGCAGACTGTCTCGCCAGAGTGGTGCATGCTCTAGTTATCTCCCACTTGGACTACTGCAATGTGCTCTACGTGGGGCTACCTTTGAAGGTGACCCAGAAACTACAATTATTCCAGAATGCAGCAGCTAGACTGGGGGCAGCCGCCAAGACCACATAACACCGGTCTTGAAAGACCTACATTGGCTCCCAGTACGTTTCCAGGCACAATTCAAAGTGTTGGTGTTGACCTTTAAAGCCCTAAACGGCCTTGGCCCAGTATACCTGAAGGAACATCTCCACCCCCATCATTCTGCCCGGATGCTGAGGTCCAGCGCCAAGGGCCTTCTGACTGTTCCCTCATTGCGAGAAGCAAAGCTACAGGGAACCAGGCAGAGGGCCTTTTTGGTAGTGGCGCCCGCTCTGTGGAACACCCTCCCATCAGATGTCAAAGAGATAAACAACTACCTGACATTCACAAGACATTCAGCCCTGTTCAGGGAAGTTTGTGACATGTTAGTGTATTTTTTGTCTTTGTTGGAAGCCACCCAGAGTGGCTGGGGAAACCCAGCCAGATGGGTGGGGTACAAATAAATTATTATTATTACTATTACTATTACTATTACTATTACTATTACTACTACTACTAAGGGAACAGAGGTGCCAAGTGGTCACTGGTTTCTCAGCTGAGAGGATGGAGTGGGATCACACTGTAGATCCCAGCATGGGTGCAGATCCATATGTCTTGCCTGCCTCCCAGGAATGTGCACAAGGGACAAGAGAGTTTCCCCGCACACCTTTCTCTCTCTTGCTTGCACATTTTTGTAGTATTTGTTTATTACTGTTTGTGTAATAGATTGTTAGCAGTGAACATAGCTAAAGACAACTGAATCGATGGAAAAGAGATGGGTGGATGGCGAGGACAACAATCTGATGGCAATAATTTCTTTTTTAAAATCCTTTTTCATCCCATTAAGTGAGTGTGTGTGTGTGTGTGTGTGTGTGTGTGTGTGGTCTGTGCCCTTCAAAATACAAGTCTACAGCAGTGAATTCCAAACATAGTGACCCCCGTACGTAACGTCTCCACATCGTGAAGTCACCTTTTAAATGATATCCAATTTTGTTGGGGGTTGGGGTGAAATCACCGGTGCTTTTCCATTTTGGAAGAATACAAGCCTCTTCGCCATTAAAATAAAAATATTGAAAGGGGTCCAGAGGAACAGCTCGGCTTCTTTTAGGGACTCCCTTGAGGACTGTGCTGTGCCTGTGTAACAGTCCAATAGCCTTGTGTTAAAGAAAAACACACACACACAGCATTAAAGAGTTGCCTTTGTTGGAGAGTGCAGGAATTGGTGAAATACATGCTGTGTGTGATCCTGCCTTGCATGGCAGAGTCAGAACATCAATAATAATAATAATAATAATAATAATAATAATAATAAATAATATATTATTTATACCCCGCCTATCTGGCTGAGTTTCCCCAGCCACTTAGGGCAGTTTAATGAGTATGGGTTGCTCGTGCGTAAGTTGCCGCCTCTCCAGGCTTTGTTGCCTTGTTAAACCTTTCTGTCTGGACAGCCCTTCAATTCGTGGCTGCCTCAGTCGCTAGCAGAATCCGTCAGTGGGCGTTTCTTAAATCTTTTCCAACATAAAAGTTGTTTGACACCCAGTCTCCTCCTACTCTCTCTGCGCGGAAGTCTTCTGCGCAGGGAGGGCGTGGGTAGCGGGGGACCAGTGCTCTCCCCGCTGGTGTCTGGTGAAGAGTCCTGGAGCCCTCTCGCCAATTCCCCCATCAGCCCCTCCTTATCCCTGGTGTAGCACTGATTTGCTTCCCCATCTGCGGAGCTGCCTCTCTCCCTGCTGGGCCCTTCTCCAGCATCATTTGAGAGCCTTCCCTCCGCCTCTAGCTCCGATGTCAGTTCCCTGACAGGCAGCTTCCAATCAAGTGTTAAAAACAATACAGCAGTAAATATTAAAAGCTTCCCTAAACAGGGCTGCCTTCAGATGTCTTTTAAAGATAAGATAGCTGCTTATTTCCTTCACATCTGAAGGGAGGGCGTTCCACAGGGTGGGCGCCACTACCGAGAAGGCCCTCTGCCTGGTTCCCTGTAACCTCACTTCTCACAATGAGGGAACCACTAGAAGGCCCTCAGCGCTGGATCTCAGTGTCTGGGCTGAACGATGCAGGTGGAGACCCTCCTTCAGGTATACAGGACCGAGGCTGTTTAGGGCTTTAAAGGTCAGCACCAACACTTTGAATTGTGCTCGGAAACGTACTGGGAGCCAATGCAGATCTCTCAGGACCGGTGTTATGTGGTCCCGGCGGCCGCTCCCAGTCACCAGTCTAGCTGCCGCATTCTGGATTAATTGCAGTTTCTGGGTCACCTTCAAAGGTAGCCCCACATAGAGCGCATTGCAGTAGTCCAAGCGGGAGATAACTAGAGCATGCACCACTCTGGCGAGACAGTCTGCGGGCAGGTAGGGTCTCATCTAGAGTAGGACGGTTTACACTGACACGGAGCAGCTCTTGAGGAGGGAGGAGGGAGGAGAAAATCCTTCAGAAGAACATTTGCAGCTGGGAGGGGTTGCTAATGCTGCAGAAGACAGAATCAGGATTCAAAATGACTTTAACAGATTGAAGAGCTGGGCCCAAACTAACAAAATGTATTCCAATAGGGACAAATGTCAGATTCTGCACTTGGGCAGGAAGAACCAGATGCACCAATGTAAGATGGGGGACACCTGGCTTGCAAAAAGGATCTAGGAGTCTTAGTGGACTACAAGCTTAACATGAGTCAACAGTAGCACCTTGGAGACCAACTAAGTTTGTTATTGGTATGAGCTTTCGTGTGCATGCACACTTCTTCAGATACTTCTTCAGATGCACACGAAAGCTCATACCAATAACAAACTTAGTTGGTCTCTAAGGTGCTACTAGAAGGACTTTTTTTTATTTTTACTACGGCAGACCAACACGGCTACCTACCTGTAACTATGAGTCAACAGTGTGATGTGTGATGCAGCAGCAAAAACATCTCATGTGATCATGTGCATCAACAGAAGTCTAGTGTCCAGATCTAGGGAAGTCATAGCACCACTCTATTCTGCCTTGGTCAGACCACACCTGGAATACTGTGTCCAGTTGTTCCGGGCGCCACAATTTAAGAAGGATGTTAACAAGTCAAACATGTGCAGAGGAGGGCGACTGAGATAATCAAGAGTCTAGAAACTTATAAGGAATGATTGAGGGAACTGAGTATGTTCAGCCTGGTAAAGAGGAGACTGAGAGGAGATATGCTAGCTATAATCAGGGATCTCACATGGAAGCTACAGCACGTTTGTTTTCTCCTGCTCCAGAGGGTAGGTCCTGAACCATGGATTCCACTTACAAGAAAGGAGATTCCACTAAACATCAGAAAGAACTTTCTGACAGAAAGAGCTGTTTGCCCTGTTTAGGGAAGCTTTTAATGTTTGAGGCATTACTGTATTTTAATATTGTGTTGGAAGCTGCCCAGAGTGGCTGGAGAAACCCAGCCAGATGGGCGGGGTATAAATAAATTATTATTATTATTATTATTATTATTATTATTATTATTATTATTGAACGGACTCCCTCGGGAGGTGATTGACTCTCCTCCATTGGAAGTTTTTAAGCAGAGGTTGGATGGCCATCTGTCCTGGATGCTTTAGCTGAGATTCCTGCATTGCAAGGGGGGTTGGACTAGATGACCCTCAGGGTCCCTTCCAACTCTATAATTCTATGAACATAAGAAGCGTCTTCTGGATCAGGCCAGTGGGCCATCTACTCCAGCATGCTTCTTCTTTTCTAACATCCTCCAACCTCTGGGAACAAGGGAGGCTGTGAGAGGGACCCTTAAGCCTTAAGCCACAGTAAGAATTCCCCCTTGTAGGGCAGATGGATTCCTTACCTGCTCCAGAGGGTCATGTCGAGGCTGTGTGTTGGGAGGAGCAGCTACCTCCAAGCCTTTTCTGTCAGTTGAAACTACAAAGAGACCTCACAGACAGCCTTATCCGTTCTTGTTAAAAAGTTCGGTTGGGAACAGCAGGTAGAAGCAGCAGTTTGGGTTTCACTCTCCCCAGCCGCAAAGGCGCTAAAAATAGATGGCCGCGAATGCGGCTTTCAGCACAAACCCTTTCGGCTTCATTTCCAAGCTCTTTATTTTGCTTCTTTTTTTCTCTTTCCTTCCACCCACACAAACATTTTCATGTCACCATGCTCACAGAGACCTACATTTTCCACAACATGGAGGAGGAGGAGGAGGAGAAGAAGAAGAAGAAGAAGAAGAAGAAGAAGAAGAAGAAGAAGAAGAAGAAGAAGAAGAAGACAGAAAAAAATGAGTGATCTGTCAGGGATTCTTTCGTTGTGGTTCCTGCATTGCAGGGGGATAGACTAGATGACTCTAGGGGTCCCCTCCACTGCTACGATTTTATGATTCTGTGAAAGGGGTTTTGTAAATCGACCATGTAAACATGGGCCCCGGATGCACTATGCATTGAAAGCACTATGATTTCACTTTAGACAGTCATACCTTCCTGTATGAAGGGACGCGGGTGGCACTGTTAAACCACAGAGCCTAGGACTTGCTGATCAGAAGGTTGGCAGTTTGAATCCCTGCAATGGGGTGAGCTCCCGTTGCTCGGTCCCAGCTCCTGCCATCCTAGCAGTTCGAAAGCACGTCAAAGTGCAAGTAGATAAATAGGTACCACTCTGGTGGGAAGGTAAACGGTGTTTCCGTGTGCTGCTCTGGTTCGCCAGAAGCGGCTTAGTCATGCTGGCCACATGACCCAGAAGCTGTACGCCGGCTCCCTCGGCCAATAAAGCAAGATGAGCGCAGCAACCCCAGAGTCGGTCACGACTGGACCTAATGGTCAGGGGTCCCCTTACCTTTACCTTCCTGTAAAATGTAGTTTGCTAAGGCTGCTGACAGCTCCTAGGCCACACCTCTTTCCCCCAGAGAGCTACAACTTCCATAGCAACTTAACAATCAACCCCTCTTCCCAGGAAACTCTGGCCTTCTTAGTCTTAATGGCTAGAAACCTGATGGAAACAAAAGCTTCATGCTAAATATTCAGCTTTGTTGCCAATCTGTGTTTTCCTGCAACTTTTCATATCACAAACATTCCACTTTTGTGGGGGGCAAAGGGGAGGCTGCCCTGTTTTTATTGAGCTACAGTACCAGAGTACCCCTCCAGGCAGCAAGAATGCAATAACTTTGGGCACCCACCACAGAACGACTGATATAGTGCTTAGAGTGTCAGGATAGGACCTGGGAGAACAGGGTTCAAATCCCCACTCGGCTGTGAAGCTCATCGGGTGACCCTGGGGTCAGACGTTGCCTCGCAGCCTAGCCTACCTCTCAAGGTTGTTGTGTGGATTAAATGAGGGTTAATGACATGTTGCAGAATACAGCCACAAAACCTAAATAAACCTGAAGGGGTTCTTAAGATTTGCTAAACAGGCAGCTCTGCCCAGAAACAGCAGCAGCAGCCCCAAAGCTAGCTCTTCCCTCACTTCCATAGTGTCTGGTAGAATTTAAGCCTTGCCCTGACATCACAGCATTCCAAGTTTCTCCACCAATGGCAGCCAGTCTTGTAGAGGAGTGGGTGGGGAAGCTGATTAAGCTCTACAGAGCCAGTAGTGGGTGTTAGTTTTGGTTCTGGTGTCCCAAGCACAACTTCAGTGTAACATCTAGGTTGGGCCTAGTATTAGATGGATCTATCTATTTCCAACCTGTGCTAATTTTGCATGTTCATCAGTTCTTTACATTCAACTTTTCACACATATCTGTGATTTAAAAAATAATAATCAGTACCAAACAATACAATACAATAAGAGGACCTCATGGCACCTTAGAGATAAATAATTTTACTATGGTGTACGCACAAATTAATCCACAATTAATGCTTGGAACTCACTGCCACATGGTAATTGTTATGTACTGAGTGCGGCATGGGGCCCCCTCTATCTGTACCTCTGCATAAATTTTCTCTACGTTGGGGTGGG